GACAACATTTCCTTTTTATTCAATGTTAACGCGAAAATCAATGACGTCATATAACTGTGAGCACTCTCTGGGTTTGAGATTATTTTCTACTCTATGCTAAATGTGTCGACGTCATACTTCGTTTTTCGAATTACTATGCAGGTTTTTAAATTCCTTGTGTTTTCTCTAGAGCGTTCTTGTCAGACAGATAGATACATAGAGAGACAGCGAAACTATTAGTATTAATGTCCCTAGGCGCCGGTCCTAGGGGCGTCAAAATTAAATACTTACATTTGATAATTTAAAATATAAATTTGAAAAATGCATATAAAATGTAGATTATATATTAAATCGGCAGCTCTCGTGGTAAATTTACCAGAAAATGTAGCTGTTTACACCCGGTTTACACCCGCCTAAGAAAAAAGCAATTTTTTTTTTAGAAGCGGAAGGGGATGGGGCAGTGACCGCGGCAATTTTCTAAAACAATTCATGGAATTTCAAGTTTATTTTTAAACATTTCAAACACTCGTAACTAAATCATAGTAGGCCTGCATCATTATTTTGTGTCAAAGCCTAAGATAATGTAGATCTAGTCATTTTTTTTCAAGTAAAAATCTCAAAACAACCATGTTACAATTAGATATTTAAATATCAGCGCGTGTATAATGTGCTCGCTTGGTCAGGTGTGTAGATCTAACGGTCAACGAGACCACAAAAAGGGTGAGAGGCTGTTATGGAAACACATGCAGCGTAAAGTTGAGTAAAATTAATACAATGGCGTCACATTGATTAGCCGAATTTACCCAAACCCATTACAGTCGTTGATAGCTAGACCGCCACAAATGACAGTAAAAAGTTCGGTCAACAGCATCTTCAATTAAAAAACAAGAAGCTTGACTGCCTGCAATCCAGAGGTGTAGCGATGGGGGGGGGGGGGGGGGGGGGGGGGCAGGGGGGTACATATGTCCCCGTGCGCCGACCTTGGGGGCGCCAAAATGGGTTGTAAAAACAAATTAAAATATCATTTTAGCTGCATTTTTGCATTATAAACAGTTTGAGGGGTGGAGGGATGCAAATCGAAAGTTTGAGGTGGGGGGGGGGGGTGCAAATTGAAAATTTGCTCCCGAGGGGGGCGCCAAATTGAAAGTTTGTACCCGGACGCCGGGAAGAGTCGCTACGCCTCTGCTGCAATCTCTGACTTTATAACAAATATTGGGTAAAAAAAAGACTTTATAATCGAGAGGCAGGGTACACAGCGTCACTCTTACGGACATATTGGAAAAGTTTAACTACCAATTATTGTTTAGGCCTAGTAATAGAAGTTACCGAAAATATCAAATTCCTATATTACATTATTAGTTAACTTAATATACACATTGCTTGTTAATGAATTAGTAATTTTGCAGCATGTATTGAGAGTTCTACTAAATTTTTGTGGACGTCCACAATGAGGGGGGGGGGGGATCCCGTCAAAAGTGGACGCGTGTGGACGGGGATCTAAAATCCCAAATTTTTGTGGACATCATAAATGGATGACCCCTTGCCTTTCAGACACCAGTTCAGAAATGCGCAGCTTCACATTGAATTCAGCGAGCGTTGTGTTCTTGGATTTCATTCCCCATGCAGCTTAAGGAAGAGCTCTCTTGTTCGCCATAGGTAGTACGAAGGTATTAAAGGCCTACTATTGAGAAAGTAATCACACGACGTACAATATTAAGTCACAAGTCGACTACCGGATCACGATATAGAAATAAAAAGTAATGATCGTCACAACATGTATAAAAAATTGTATATACAAGATCAACGCGGGTCTGTATAGGCTACGTTGGCACGATTCGTTACGTATATGTGACGTCAAGGGTTACACGATATAGAAATATCACGGTAGACCTGACGGTACGTTTTCTCTCCCTCTCTGGCGCACTTCATTCAGAGGCGTAGCTCTAGCGACCTATTCCGGCGCCCGGGGCGAATTGTTAATTTTGCACCCCTCCCTACACACACACACACGTTTTTTAACAGTCACTGTGTTTAAACTGTTTTTATGTAGTGTCACACAATCGATTTAGAAAACAGTTTGCTCAGTCTGTTAACCCAATAAGTAGTCTAAAAATAATGAAACTCAAAACTAGCCTTTTATATATTTTTCTACCCCGTTTGGCGCCCCTCTAAGGTTGGCGCCCGGGGCGGCCGCCCCACCCGCCCTCCCCTAGCTACGCCACTGACTTCATTACTATGTCGATGCGGTGTGGTATTTGAACTGTCATCGGCTGAGGCAACTAGCTCTATACTATCGTCCACACAGACAAAATCCGATCATTAATAATTTTTGTTGAGTGTGTGTCATGACCTCCGCCGAACACATGAGACTGACTCACAGAACCCTTGGTAATCGATTTCGATCGCACCCAGGTTTAGAACCCCTGATCTAGATCTAGAATATCTGAGAATCTAGATTTATGCATGTATATATTGAGCACTTCCTAGAATTATTCCCCTTAGTATAACCGCGTTTCGCAGATGTCGCTCATAGTCTTCTAGAGTTGTGTTTACGATGGGGATAAATCTCAAGCAACAATGGAATTTAACTCGTTAATAGCAGAATTGAGGAGCTCTTCGGAAAATCTGCCCGACGAGTCATCAGATAGAAGTCTTCTTTCCTCATTGTACTGCAATAAAGCATGCAATGTAAGTTTAACTAACTATACATCTCGTTTTGTTTGCTGATTTAAATAGTTCCTGCAGTTAGATTTTGGTACAGCCGACATGGCGTTGGTGCTGATATGCACGCACCCGTTAGATTACATTTTCTTGTTCTAGATCTAGATCTAGGTCTAGAAGTCTAGAACTAAAATCTAGATCTAGAATCTAGTCCCATATCACTAAAATAGTCTAGCTATGTGTTATTATATAGTTTAAAATACCTAAACATTTGGCTGAAGCTAGATCTAGGAGTAAAATCTAATTCTAAGGTAGTAAGACTAAGTTTTTAGTTTAGTGTCAATTCGGCCAAAACTAGTAATGTGGGAGAGAGTGAATTAATAAATATTAAATATGTCATTAAATAATAAATATGAGTATATTTTCGTATATTTTGATAAAATATAATAGATTATTGAATAATAGATCACCATTTATGGTTAAATAAATTTAAATATTGGCCCTCCTGAAATTAATTTTTATCAACCCTGTTCGAGATAGTAAATTTGCGGTTTAAACTCCATTTTAGGGTATTTTATTCTCCGTTGCTTGTTTACCTCCAGTTGAGCGTATTTTATTATAATAACCGAAACACACCAAAACATTAGGAAAACACGAATTTAATATTTGTATTGTATTGTTGTTTTTCATAAATGAATAAAAATGAATAGGCCTATTCAAAACTTATTTATTTGTTTTGTATTTTTGTTATAACAAATGAATAAAAACAACAAAGAGACTGACTGAAATGCTTTGTTTGTTAGTTGCAAAAATAGAGATGCACACTTTGTACAAATAAGTGTTCCAATTTCAACTAACAGAATAAAAGTATTAAAAAGGCATAAGGGGTCGTCCATAAATTACGTCACACTGTAAGGGGAGGTGGGGGGGTCCGTAATTTTGTGACGGTGTGTGATGAGGGGTAGGGGGGGGTTCAGATGGTGCGACGTCACACTTTTGCATTATTAAAAAACACTGTTAGAAAGCAAATTCTAGACGTTATTTCGCGTTTTAGAAAACTGTTTTAATAAATTGTAATAGGAGTTGATTAAAATACTCTATTTTGACAGAGGCTGAGGTGTGACGTTATTTTAGGGGGGGGGGTGTCAGGGTTTTTGTGACGCCGTGTGACGGAGGGGAGGGGGGAGGTAAAAATCGTCAAAAAAGCGTGACGTCATTTATGGATGACCCCTAATAATGCTGCCGAAAGTGGGGGGGGGGGTGGAATTTGGTGAGGGATGGCTTGGAGTGTTAGAGAAAGTGTGACAACTCACGTTGCCATTTTAAAAAATAGTGTTAGACACTAAATTTCATATGTTATTTCGCATTTTTAAAGCTGTACAGAAATAGACTAATTTAACTAATATTGTAAAACGAACAGCCAAATAATACAAATTTACAAATTTATTACAGGGATCATTCATAAATGACGTCACGCTTTTTAAAAACGATTTTTACCTACCCCCTCCAGTAGCGTAGCAAGGGGGGGGGGGGGGCATATGTCCCCAGGGGGCGCCAAAATGGGTTGGAAAAATAAATTGAAAGGTTGAGGGGGGTACAAATCTTAAGGTTTATCCCCGGCAAGGGTCGCTACGCCTCTGCCCCCTTCCCCTCCCGTCACTTACCGTCACAAAATTGCGGACCCCCTCTCCCCTACGAGTGTGGCGTCATTTATGGACAACCCCACAGCATTATTTTTTTTAAAAGTCAGAAATTTACTCATACAAAAAAATCATACTTGATACATAGATCTATATCAAAATATTGGGAAGGATGGTAGATTTACTATGAATTTAAATAACATACAACTCTATAGTAAAATATTTTTTCAGTTTTGGCAAAACTGTCAAATTAAAAAACACAGAGTTTGTACATTTATAGCATAAATACAAAAACATCATACAGAATAATTAACAGTGTATCAGTTTCACCATGAGACAAATGCCTTTAAAAAAATACAATACAAATGAACAAGTCGTGTTTTTTAAATATTCCTTTTTATTCATTTGTGAAAACAACAATACAATACAAATAAATAAATCATGTTTTCCTAATGTTTTGGTGTGTTTCGGTTATTATAATAAAATACGCTCAACTGGACAAGCGGAGAATAAAATACGCTAAAATGGAGTTTTACCTAAATTTGCTATTAAAAACAGCAGCCATCTTAAGAAAATGTTATTGAGAGTAGCTTCCCTTTCATTTCTATTCGTATGAAAATGTATTTAAATATGATTGTCTTGTTTTATAGTCCGTATTACAAAGCATTTTTAAAAAAAAATTCTGCCCTTTAAAAACTGAATTTCCTAACAAACAACTTTATTAATTTTAGAAGCATTGTGAGATGCAACTTGTATCCATGTATTAAATCACGTTTTTTTTACTATAAATTAGTCTTAGCTTTGTATCCATTCGGCTCTACTCTGTTATAATTTTAAAAATGTATTAATTAGTTTAGGCCGAACTGGCTCAGCATTACACTAAATCTTTACCCTAGGTAGCATCAATCTAAAAAAAAAAATAGGTATCAGGACGATAGTCCTAGATCTAGCTAAATCAAACTGCTCTTTAGTAAATTGTTTTTATAACTGTCTAGCATGTGTGATAGTAGATCTAAGTCTTTATTATTAACGGTATGTGAACTTAAAAAAAATGACGGGAAGTAGGTCTGTTTTTCAATTTGCTTGAAGGGGGTGGGGGGGGGGGGGAGAGAAATGAAGACAGATGATCTCGTGAACAAGTGTTAATTCTATGACGTGTACTATAGGCCTGCTGAACTCACAGTGACCCCGCTGTACTGTACTATATGCTGAACTCACAGTGACCCCCGCCCACCGTGGTGGGATTTTTCACCCACGGGATAGTAAACATAATGAAGCAATTACGCAAGTGACGATGTTTGGAGATTTTATTTTACAAAAAAGCACAGGTCATGTTTTCAATATGAAAAAAAAATGAAATGAAAAAGACACTAATACCGTCGATGAACTTCAGCTGCCACACTGTTGACCCAATATAATGTGAATTAAGTGTAAAATTTATTTGTTTTATAGACTATCATAACTATCATATTTTTAAGCATGAATATTGTCTTCCCCTATCTAAAATAGATCTATATCAAAATATTGGGAAGGATGGTAGATTTACTATGAATTTAAATAACATACAACTCTATAGTAAAATATTTTTTCAGTTTTGGCAAAACTGTCAAATTAAAAAACACAGAGTTTGTACATTTATAGCATAAATACAAAAACATCATACAGAATAATTAACAGTGTATCAGTTTCACCATGAGACAAATGCCTTTAAAAAAATACAATACAAATGAACAAGTCGTGTTTTTTAAATATTCCTTTTTATTCATTTGTGAAAACAACAATACAATACAAATAAATAAATCATGTTTTCCTAATGTTTTGGTGTGTTTCGGTTATTATAATAAAATACGCTCAACTGGACAAGCGGAGAATAAAATACGCTAAAATGGAGTTTTACCTAAATTTGCTATTAAAAACAGCAGCCATCTTAAGAAAATGTTATTGAGAGTAGCTTCCCTTTCATTTCTATTCGTATGAAAATGTATTTAAATATGATTGTCTTGTTTTATAGTCCGTATTACAAAGCATTTTTAAAAAAAAATTCTGCCCTTTAAAAACTGAATTTCCTAACAAACAACTTTATTAATTTTAGAAGCATTGTGAGATGCAACTTGTATCCATGTATTAAATCACGTTTTTTTACTATAAATTAGTCTTAGCTTTGTATCCATTCGGCTCTACTCTGTTATAATTTTAAAAATGTATTAATTAGTTTAGGCCGAACTGGCTCAGCATTACACTAAATCTTTACCCTAGGTAGCATCAATCTAAAAAAAAAAATAGGTATCAGGACGATAGTCCTAGATCTAGCTAAATCAAACTGCTCTTTAGTAAATTGTTTTTATAACTGTCTAGCATGTGTGATAGTAGATCTAAGTCTTTATTATTAACGGTATGTGAACTTAAAAAAAATGACGGGAAGTAGGTCTGTTTTTCAATTTGCTTGAAGGGGGTGGGGGGGGGGGGGGGAGAGAAATGAAGACAGATGATCTCGTGAACAAGTGTTAATTCTATGACGTGTACTATAGGCCTGCTGAACTCACAGTGACCCCGCTGTACTGTACTATATGCTGAACTCACAGTGACCCCCGCCCACCGTGGTGGGATTTTTCACCCACGGGATAGTAAACATAATGAAGCAATTACGCAAGTGACGATGTTTGGAGATTTTATTTTACAAAAAAGCACAGGTCATGTTTTCAATATGAAAAAAAAATGAAATGAAAAAGACACTAATACCGTCGATGAACTTCAGCTGCCACACTGTTGACCCAATATAATGTGAATTAAGTGTAAAATTTATTTGTTTTATAGACTATCATAACTATCATATTTTTAAGCATGAATATTGTCTTCCCCTATCTAAAATTAGAATTTCAAATAAAAATATTTTTTATGGTCTTATGATTTATGCAAGCGTTCAATATTTATAAAACGGTATGAATAACATTTAGAGTAGAATTTATAATGTATATTTTTGTTTACCAATTTAATAAATAGCTAGATCTAGGTTTATCACTAACAAGTTGTATTTTGTTTTTTTTTCCCGTGAGTAAAATAACCTATGTTGACACAATAACTTACTATGGCAGCATTTTAAACTTGTGTACACAAGTTCACGACGTCCTGCATGTCGACTGGGAGGCAAAATGTCGTTTTTGGCTTTCATGTTTACATTTTGGATAATTTTTAAATCCTTTTTTTTCTTGGCATCTGAGTAAGCTAGATAATTAAATGGGGTCTCTAATGGTCTGTTAAAGGGTATGGCTTGTCATGGTTTATGTGAAATAACAGAATATTTGATTTTAAAATTTCATAATTCAAGCTACAGTTTAAGACTACATTTATTTTCATCAAGCTTAAGTTATAACCGGATGTTTTAAGAAGTCACATAATTACAAATTTACTATTGTAATAGCATTGTATTGAAAAACTTGATTAGTTATATTTTCTTTTAGTATTAACTTGAAGTTAACTGACAATAAGCAAAAGTGATTTCAAAACAAATTCATGGTATATTAAGAGGGTCGGATTACATAACCGTAACATTTGATGTTTATGTAACAATGTTGGGCCATTTTCAATACTACCATTATCTTCAGCATATACAAATGACATATTGATTAAAACAGTGTTAAATTTAAAAAATGACTTCTTATCAGATCACATGGATTATTAGATGTTCTAAAAAAACCTAAAGGGGGGGTATTACATAATCTATGAGAATAGTCGGTTATGTAATCGAAGGACACTTTTTAAAATAGCATCATTGGATTCGGCATACAAAAATCTATAAAATACAGTAACATGAAATCAATTGATGAAGTATGCTTGTTTTAATACCACTTTTAGTGAAAAACTCTTAAAAATTGGTCCATACCCTCCCAGTATTTTTCCTCTTTCAAAGTCTACCCTAGTTGTCTGAAAAACTACTATTTTTCAATGACTAAAAAATTCATAACTTTTTTGTTAATGGTCAGATTTTAAAAATTCAAACTTATCTATAATCCAAATATGTAACTAATATATTCTTTGACTAAAATTAAAATTTTAAATGCTGCTACTAACAACCCAACACACCTATTTTATGGAAGAGTCTATTATGGGACATCGGTATCTAAAATCATCTGAATAGATTTTTTTAAATAGATTCTAAGTAGAATCTATATTTATGTCAAATTTTACAAAATGTAACAGATAATTGATTTAAAAAAAACAACCAAACAATGACCATAACAATTGAAAATATCATGAAACTAACTTTAAACAAGGTGTTTGAGATAGGCCTAAATATTAGTAATGAAGGCTAAATGTATAAGTCGGTGTCATCAAAATTAATAGAACATTTAAAATATCAGCAGCTTTATTCTTTAATATACATAGCTGTTTAATATAAATAGGACAGTGGACCGCCTTCTCGTCTTTAATTTCAATTGAAATGAAGGCTATGTATATACACCCCAGACCTCAAAAACTTTTGGGAGGGTCCAACATTAAAACCCTTTAGTACTGATTAACTTGTCAATTATTTGGTCGTCCATATTCCGCATAAATGATGGCAGACTTAATGTGGGAGGGGTAAAATTATTTTTAAAAAAATGTATTTATAGAATAAAAAATGTTGAAGAACATACTCGTTTTCGTTAAAAATTATGATTTAGGGTTGGGGTGTAGTAGAACTTTGCGATATGATATTAAATCAGCAATCCGGCTTTTAGTGTTGTATGAGGTGATCTAAGTTTGTTAGGTAAGCGCCACAGGATCTATAGCAAGCTGATAGCCATGGACATAGCAAGTTTTATTGATTGTCCAACAAAGGAGCCAGCCTTCCACACCCTGTTCACCAACCCATCACAAAAACACATTTTTAAAAATTCTCTTCAGGCTACTAATATTGTGAAGAAACATTTCACAAATGTCTTAAACACATTTTTAAAAATTCTCTTCAGGCTATTGACAGAATAGCTGAACACTTGGAATATGATAATGTGATTACTGGTTTATGGCTAATAGTTGCCCACTTTGCTGAACAGTTAACATATCTTAAACCTGTTCCTGCTTTGTCTGAGCTTTGCTTTAAGCTCTTCAGGTAAATAGTTTTTGTTATATATTTTCATACTAATGTACATAAATTTAAAAACAAAATGTATTAGTTATCAATGCTCCCCACCATGACGTAGGTCTCTGACAAAAACTTCCAGAGCTAGTTAATCCATCTGACCCCAGTGGTAAATCCATCTTTGGTGTCATCCTTCAGGGTTTCTCTTTAGTCTTTTTTCTTTCAATTTGACAATTTAAGGTGAGTGTTGTCATGCAGTGCTGTTGGTGGCTTCCTGAGTTTTTGGTCAGCACTTTACCTGTTGAAGCAAAGTATATTACTGTGTTAAAAAATGCCTGTATTTTCTTTTTATCTGATACAGATGCATTGGTTCTCCATGTTCTAGCACTTTAAAGTAGAAGTAATTGTCCTGTTTTTTATCTTGAGTCCCACATTTTTTAACTTATTTTGCCTGTCCTTTTTTCCCCTACTTTACCTTTTAAATTTCTACTATATCGCACACTGCCCAGGTATTTCATCACTTCCTTCAGGTCTTCCCCTTTGTATGTTTTTATGAGTTATTTGCTGAAACCTTTTTCCATAATGGTTGTATGGTCCCAAGCATCTTGGATAATATTCATAGTTTTCTCCTGTAATAAGTGTTTTTCAAAATGATTCTAATCTATATAGACCTCTTCAATTGTTAGTTAAAAATTTTAGTACTTCATGAATTTTTCCAAATATCCAAAATCAAAACCTTTTACATAGAAAAATATAGCAATATGGATACTCCTGATTCAATAGCCAGTGTAGTTTTACAAAAATCTGGCCATGAATGTCAAGGATGCATCGCAAATTTATGTTATAAAAGTTTAATGAGTTAATGATTTCTTTTAACAGACAATGTGCAAAATCAGTGTTGAATATACAATGGCAAAATTTAGAAGAAGAAAGCTCTGTCAGACAAAACTTTTTAGTCTCTTTGGCCAACCTCCATGCCAAGTTGATCCCATTTGATTTCCCACGCTTTCGCCTGCTGGAGTCTCTAACTGAGAATCCCTGGACAAATCCTATTCTAGCAAAAGTAATGGGTGGTGAGATAGATGATGGTGATAAGGAAGAAGGTAATTTAAATTTCCATTTAAATGTTTTCTTAGTGTCAAAGGTAATTGTATTGCAGTAGAAAACATTTAAGCAAATTAGTTTAATATAATTTTAACTAAACAGATGTAGCAATTCTTCAAAAAATGTGTTTTGTTAGTTCGCAGCTACATTGAACAAGAAGATCCTATTATCTTACAACTGAGGGTTGATATGATGCTTAAAGAAAATTGTGAAGAGTATGCCCTGAATTTATGTAACAGCTGCCTCACCCATCCTGAACTTCAAACAGATTTAAGTGTTAGAAAAACACAGCTCTCTCTTCTTTACAAACTTGGCCATGAAGACAAGTTGCAGGAAGAAGTAAGCCTTTAGTTTTTTATGGAAATTTTTTGAAATATAAGCTAATAATAATTGTAATACTTTTTAGATACCATCACTTAGTTTTAAAATGTTCTTTGTGTTAAAGTGCCAGAAATTAAGTGTTCAAGAGGCATTGAAAATAATACGTCAGTTACAGTCTTCACCATCACACACACAATTATGTACGGTTCTGGCTCAAACCTTCATGGTGCAGAACTGGATAAGACCATCAGATATGGAGGCTAATAAGGTTTGTGGGGTTTTGTTGTTCTGTGTTTTAAAGCTAGCTCCTGTCCTCTGTCAAATCAAAAATATTACATGTAGTATTTTCTTCCTTCAGGAACTATTACGGCTTTGGATTAGGCAGCAACTACTAGTTGATAGAGAACAAGACCAATTCAAAGAAAGTGTGTGGGCAATGGCTAAACTCTCACAGTCAACAGAGCAAATAGTCATTTTTATTGATGTCCTCAGAGAAGAGGTTTGTTATCCATTTGTCTGTAAACACTAAAAGTTTCCTTTCTGGCTAGATTCTTAGCTGTGCCAAGTAAATTATTGAAGTGTAACAAGATTTAATGTTTAAAAATCAAGTAATAATTTACTGAGTTATTTAAAGTTTTTAATAGGGTGATGTGTGGGTTTGTAATATTGTTACTTAAATGCTTTCTTATGGAGCAGTTTATTAAAACTTTGCAGAGAAGTTCATCTCTGATCTTTGGTGATTATGCAAGGTTATTTAACTTCCACTCTAATTTTAATTTTTTACTATTGTATTAACAATGGTAGGTGAGATAGGTATAGGAATGTGATTTTTTTCCAAATATTAGCAGCCCTCTGACCTATATCAAATTTTGATTTTTAGTCAAAAAAATATTAGCAGACATACTCCCTTGTGTTTAACAGTTAAAGATTTACCTTTCATAAGAATTGTCTTTTAAGAATAGTAAAAATTGTTTTACTTTCAAATGATGATAAACCCTGGCTTTTAAACTTTGTGAATACCAATCAACTTTAATCATTTGTGATACTCCTATTTCCTGGCCCTTGTTCTCTTTTTAAAAACTGACTGTTTAGAAAAATACCTTTAATTTATTTCAGTATAACCTACCATCCCGTCAATAGTGGAATTGGTTGCTAAATTGCAAAAAAAAAATTGTTTCACCTTCCACCATTCTGCTCAGTTGTGTAAGAGATTTCATGAGCAACTAATGCTTTTATTAAAGAAAAAAAAATTGTTTTATTTATTTGTTTTATTTTCAGTGCATTTAAAAGCTTAGGTTCTTTAAATTTGTTTTTTTTTCCTACTTTTATTACTTTGTTCTTATTGAAGTCAACACTACATACAACTAAAAATATTTGCTTTAAAATCTGATTATAGCTTGCAATCTCTAACTCTTCTTAACGCCGGTGGTCACCCTCTCGTTTGAAGCCAACCATCTGTGCTTAACAGTTCACCCGGCTGACCAAGTTTTTGCTTTAGATTGTTCCTGTTATCTCTCTTTATGTTATTCAGGGGTGCCACTTTTTAGAGATATTCCAGATTTGAGAATCCTATTTTTTTTTTTTCACTTTCTAGATTTTCCGAATTTTAGTTCCGAAATTTCCAGGCTTACAGTTTTTATTTACTAGTATTTTAATACGCCTTCCATTTTTAAACTGTTAGCTACCACCTCTACCATTCCCTGCTTTGAGGGCACTATCTAATGTCAGCTATTCTGGATGTTCTCATTGTCTAACACATAAGTTAAAAAGTTAAAATTACAAACCTGGTCTCTACTGTATTAGATACCATGTCCATGTTTAGAAAATTAGGGTTAATCTCCCCTAAATTCTCTTGTATATTCTTATATAGCAGTAAGGGAAATGGCACTTTCATGTAGCCCGGATGTAGGAATGTTTTTTTTTAATTGATTTTTTTTAATACTTATATTTTTAAAAATAGAATAGAGTAGAAAAGGGAATGCCCACCAAATGGACATACAATAGAATCAAGTTGAAAAGTAACTACAGTAACTTAGTACTTTAAAAAAAATCTAATTATTTTTTCTTAAATCAATTAAGGTGATGCCTATACCGTTAGACCCTATTTTTTAGATCATTGAATTTCAGCCACAAATATTATATGTATACTAATAGTATGACAATTCAAAGACAAAAAACATAAGTAAGTTTTTAAATATTTTTTAGCGCAATTTCCATTCTGGAGAACTGCGTTTATTAACTCGTCATTTCTGGGAATGTATGGATGGATGTGTGTCCGTAGCTTTAAGTCGTATCTCCTCCTCAACGAAGCAATATCGAGGACTAGTTCCAAAAGCAAATATGTTAAGCAAGTTACCAGGATGAACATAGGCCAAAAAAAATTCCGGGTTTCTTTCATGGATTTCCCGGAAAAGCCAAAAAACCTCGAAAAAATGCAGTTTTTGGCCCATATCTCGGCAACCAGACCACTTAGCGACTTGAAACATGTACCAATCGATTCCTGCCATAATTTAGAACAATATTGCCGAAAAAAGTTTTCAAAAATATCCTTTCCTTCGGTCACAAAATTTTTTTTGAATTAATTAAAATTTGGTCCGAATTAGTAGGCATTTTATCCAACCACACCACACGCGTCATCACGTTCAATAGCTGCGCCATCACGTTCAATGGCTGCGTCATCACGTTCAGCAGCTAGGCGCGCAATGGTTTTTAGTCATGTAACTCTATTGTAAATAAAACATGTAAAATACTGAAAAAAATATTAATAAAAAACGTTTTAATAACTAACCAATGGTTTTACTAACCCTGCTCTTGATTTACGCTACGACAGAGCTATTTTTAGATAACATAAGGAAATTGCGCTAAAATTGTCACTAGACTTTTTTAATTACTTGTTTTACTTTTATTGAGCACAAGGTGTAATTTTGTTACAATTTTACCATTTCACAAAAAAATCAGAGGAAAAAAAAACCTATTTTATAAATTTCAATGAAACTGCACAGACATGAACAATGATATATATCTAATAAACAAATTGTCACAAAATCACCCTTTCTTCAATAAAAGTAAAAAAAAAAACTTTTTAAAAACTTACTTAAGTTTTTTGTTTTTGAATTGTCATACTATTGGTATACATTTAATATTTGTGGCTGAAATTCAATTATCTAGAAAAAAAGCACCTAACGATATAGGTATCACCTTAAACATCTAATTAAGTCGCAGTACGTTGTCATCAAGTCTTGACCTACGTGAAAGGTTTTGAAGAAATTGGTCCTGTTGAAGTAATCTGTTTTTAGAAATTGGAAATATCTTAAAGTAATACATTCACAAGAAATCATTTACAATTTGATAGAATCAAGGGAATAAAATCTTATACCTACGTTTAAAATTTTGTCCATGTAACTGAAACAGCACTCAAGTTATCAGTATTTTAAAAAACAGAAATAAAGTGCACTTTCCTCCATTTATTTGAAGTCACTAAAAATTTGATAGTAATCCAAGTATAAGATCTTGTACTTAAAAATGACATTTCATCTAGCTACCTACCTTATAGCCTTCTCTTGGAAATAAAGTAAAATACCATTTTCGATTAACGGAAATTGTTCAAAATTTGACAGGAGCATTCGCATACAATGTATTACTTACCTGTGAAATTTCGTCCACCTAACTTAAACAGATATCAAGTTTTTGGCTTTTAAAAAACCGCAAGTTGAATAAGTACCACTTCTGTTTACCTTTCAAAAGCTGATACAAAACTTCTAATTTGATATAATACCCATACATGAAACTTCGTCAACGTAACTGAAACGGTACTCAAGTTATCGTACTGTTTTAGATCGCTAAATGAAATTTGGCATACAAGTAAAAGATCTAATTCAGCCTTCTGTCAAATTTTGAGTAATTTCTGTTGACCAAAAGTAGTACTTAATGCTTTTTGTAATTTCTCAAAAAGCGCATATATAGTTAATATTCTGCACTATTATACACACATTGTTTGCTGTTCACTTTGTAACACATACCATGGTTACCAGTCAGGGGGAATAATTTGTTGTTTATTTGGTTTTTGCCCCTGTGGGACCGCAACTGTTGATGTATTTTTTATTGCTCTTCTGTGAGCAATGTTCCCCGTGTTCCCATGTCATGTAACCTCTGGGACACTGGGTAGTTTGTACCTGTGTCCGCGTGATTCAAACCCCAGGCTGTTATTGACACAGAGGGTGCTGTTGCCTATGTTAACTTAGTCATGTAGACCTAATGAAGGGCTACTGTCTACATAGCCGTTTATGGCTTGGACATTTATGCACTAGCCGTACAGAGTTGCAGTATAGCCAGGATCTAAGAACCAAATGTCATTTCATTATGTGTTATCTCTCAGGGTCATTCCTTTTAAACACTCCACCTCAGTGAGTAATATCATCCCTACTGAGGTAGTGTTAACAATTTTGGAGCAAATCTTTAATTAAGTGAAATTGGTAAAAAAAAAAAAAAACTTTTTATAAGAGAAATATTGCAGTTAAAAAGAACTTTCAGCTTCATCAATCGTATTGTTGAGTCTGGTTTCTTAGTAAAAATCACATGGAGAAATAACACGACATGAACTCTAAAAACTTCCAAAAAATTGCTTTTACGTTATCACATCTCACATATTTTTCAAGGGTGAGGGGGCTTGACATTTGTGTAGGAGAAAATAAGATTTTAGAAATGTGAAATCTCTGTTAATAAATTAAAGCCCTTTATAAATACAGTAGGCCAGCCTTGTAGGTAATGAAGTGTCAATTTTTGAGGGGTCATGCACATCAATAACGTGCATATCAATAACGGGGTTGAGGTTAGCAAAGTATTTGCTGTTTAACAGTTGGCTGGCTACACAGTTATGTTATAAAAGCAGGCGAACAACAGTGTAGCCTACAATTCTACCACTTTGCAGGCTTACTTAAAAAAAAACAACTCCATATTTCTACTCATTTCATAATTACCTTCAGAAAAGTGAGACTATTATCACTATAAGGTAGAAAGGGGTTTAAAATTGTAACCTAATTTTGTTATATGCATAATCCTTAACAAAGATAAAACATTCAATAAAGGGCTCTATATTTAACCTAATATGAATCCAATGTAAAAAAAAAATGAAATAATTGTCGATTTTATTTCGTTTTACATTAGGTTTCAAATTTTTTGTTTCAGGATTGGTGAAATTTGGGGATTGATTTTTTAAGATTCACTTGAAAAATAAGTGGCACCCCTGATTATTGAATGTAGTGATTTTTGTATTAATTAATTGCTAATTTGATATCCAATTTGATTTTTAAAAAAAGATGTAAGCTTACATTGTTATCATTAATAGTGGGCCACAATTGCCACACACACACACATAGACATTATGGACAAAATGAAAGGTTATCTATGTTAACAAAAATGCAGGCTACTGTTAAAAAAAATTCTTCAAATTGAAAAATATAGCTGGGAAAATGATTCCCTTTACACTTCATTTTTTGTTTCCTTATTACACTAACTACATGTTTATAATTTGGAAAATGTCAGTTGTCAAGAGATGGGTAGCTTTAAAAATGAACATAACAATTAAGTATTATATACTGAGTAGTTTCAGCATTATGTTCTCTGTTTTGTTTAAAAATTATCTGTTTCTGGAAGATCAGCTTGGTATACTTTTACAATGTCTAAAATTCTTAAAGTAGAAAAGGAAACTTGTATACAAACCTTTGTAATTAGTCAAAGTGTTGGTTGCCAAAAAATATTGAACAGATTTCTAGGGAGCCCACTTTTAGTTTAAGTTAGTTTTTTATATGTTTACAAAATTACAGGTGCATTTGAAATAGGATTATAGTGGCGCAGAAGTTTATTTCTCTCTCAATATAATAATTTTATTCAGCTGTTTAGTATGGTTAGGGAAAATTGCCACTGTAGTACAGTTAACTTATAAAGGCATTAAAAGTATTTCCTAAATTTTTGTCACGGTCTGTATTACATATCTTAAGGATTCATTTTTATGTATCTTTTTTTTCTTTTTTTTTCAGTGTGGGGATGTTTATTTGCAACTCTATGTTGATATGTGCATCTTTGCTATCAATGTTGATAAAGGTCAAATGGAGACAAACATTAAAGAAGGAAATCTAGATGCTGCTGTTGCTAGAAGGAGTGATATGGCTTCTATATGTGCCAAGCTTTCTTGCTTGTGCCATCATACATCTATTAAAGTTGCTCGAATTTGTGCTCTTACATCGTTTGCTTTAAAACCAAATGAACAGTCTTTTTCTAAAATTGGCACTTTTTATGGTCAAGGAGGTGGATGCTGTAACAAGTGTGGCATGGAGAAAAACCATGAGCCAGGTCAAATCAATCCAGCTACGCTGTATGAAGTTGAAAGATTGCTGACTATGTTACATCCTGAGTACTTGAATCCTGACAATACTTATAGCAATATCCATGCTCTTTGTCGGAGGTTTTTACATGAAAATCTAAAGAATGTACAGCAGAGCAGACCAACTGGTATATTACAGAGAGATGTTTTAGCCAAGAGTAAAACAACTCACTTGTTTGAAGCACTCTTGCCTCAAGAGATACAAAATACCCAAATGCTTTTGAATAAGTTAAGACTACAGGCTCAACTACCTGCCAGTAGCCAACCTCTGTATTCTACTAGCAGTTCTAGACCAAATATCCTTGTTCATAGCCAGAGCCTTATTACTCCCAAATCTGGCCAAGCTAGTAAATCCCAGTATACATTTGATGCTGAGAGGGGTAAAAACAGTCAGCCCTTTGGAGTTCCTTTAGAGCATCAACATCAATACTATTTGTTGAAACATGAAAAAAATCTAGAGCAAAGACGCAAAAATGTTGAGCAGATAAAGGATTCAAAAATAGATGAGCCAGTCAATACCCAGGTTTCTCTGCAATTGGCTCAGAAACATGAGCAACTGAGAAGCACTCAGGTTACTGAAATAATTCAGTCTGCTATGCGACACGATTCTCATGCTCTAGAAAAACTCGCTCAGACTGCTGGGCCTGAGGTGGTTCAGGCTGTACTAAAGATAATGAAAAATACAAATCTTAAGCAGCAACCAGCACAGCATCCAAATAATGTTGGGCAATCATCTTCTGTCCCTCTACAAGGATCGCAACCTTTACCCACAGTGTCTACATTGCTTAAACCAAACCTTCAGTTCCAACAGCAGCAGCAACTAGTCAGGGAGCAACCTCCACCACGTCGTCCTAAACCCCAGCTGTATGCCCAACCTATAATTATATCATCAAGTTGTTCAATAAGTACACGGCCTCAAAGCACAGCTTCTCTCATGTCAAGAAATTTAAGCAGTTCAGTACCAAGTAGACATCCTTTGAGCACAGAAAGAAACATAAACATACATGGCATTTCAGTATCTAGTAGACAAACTTTAAGCACAGAAAGAAATACAGGCAGTTCAGTAAATTCTCTCTTGCAAAAACCTGAAAATTTAACATTAGCTAAGACACAGGCAGTTAGGCAATTCATGCAAATGCAAATGTCTGCACAACACCAAAAGCAGATCTCAGAAACACGCCAGATGTCTGGCTCTACAGTTACCCTGAACCGTAATCCTCTGCCAACAGCATTAGGTAACTCTCCTTCATACCCTGCTGGGATGGTGCCAAGTCAGTTAAATAATCGCCCCAAGACAACAGTTGAGTTGGCAGAACAAGCAGCCTTATTGAAACTAAGACTTAAACAACAAGAACAGAGCCCAAATGTAGATTATCTACCAAACACATCTCATTATTCATTGCCACATCAAGCAAGTGGGCAGTTGAATCAAACTAGCTACCAAAGTCAGATGTCATCCTTAGCAACGCTGCCATCATCAGATGAATTGTCTGGCTCAATAGTGGGAATAGATGATACCATCATTAAAGAATTGCTGCAAGATTCTGGTATTCTAGCCAATACTTTTCCTGACATAGAAGTGGAGAATGTTGGAGAATGTAAAAAGTTGTCTGAACCATTAGCCCAACATGCAGCAAGCAGCTCTTTTCAGCCCCCAGATTCTCTAGGAAGGACGTACATGTACTCAACACCTCCTGATGTTTTTCAACCAGCTTTATCACAGAGGACACACCAGGGAATCACTTCTAGAATTTTGCCAGATGGCACCTTGATGAAATGTAGTCAGGCTAGAAGTGTGATAGGATCTCCTGTACAGGCCAACTCATTGATCCCAGTCAAACAGAACTTGTCACATGCTGGTACAGTCACTAACCCAAGTACCAGCACTAGAAATGAGATCAGTTTAGCTCAGCAGTTGCCTACCCATGTTTCTGTTCTCCCAAGAGCAGAAAATGTCAAGAGAGAAGAAAAGCCCACTGTGGACCAGTTAAGAGAAATGATGAAGAAAGAGGAGATAGAGGGGGAAGTCTGTATGGATGCAGCTAATAATGCCACTTACAGGTGCATTATATGTAGCTTAGCCTTTGAAACATTGGACAATCTTCGTGAACATGTAAGAAATGTTTGCAAACCAGGTCTCCAACAATCTAGTGTGTACACAACAAAGATCAACCAAGACCGAGCCAACTCTGCAAAAGCTGGTGTAGCCACAACCACAGTGTTCCAGTGTCTGCGCTGTTTTGAATTGTGCGTCAGTGATGTTGGCATTAAACAGCACAGACTGACATGCAAGAGAGTACCTACTGTACCATCAGACCTCAAGAAAGACACACAGAACAAGAGCAAGTCTACCCCTAAGACTAGTCGATACACGTTGCCAAAGAAAGAATCAAGTGACAATGTATCTTTGGATCCTAAAATGCCACTTCCTTTTCCTTACCCTTCATTGAATGCAGAAGCTGTGTTAAAAAGTCTTTCATTAACAAATAGTTCAAAAGGTCAGACCGAGTCTGCTACAAGCTGCGTGTCTGATGACAAAGTACAGGCCAACAAGCTCAATGGCTCATCAATAAGCAGATTGTCTACCTTAGGGATGACTTGTAACATGAATCAACCAAAGGCAATGGTGTCTTCTCCTCCCATGAAAACATTATCAAATACAAGCAACATACTAGCTCCCAATGGGACCAGTGGACATTGTCCATTACCTTCTGTTTGCAGTGTATTGCCTCGTAATAATAATAATACTTGTGTTGGAGTTGGGTCTGTTAGCTCCTCAAAGCCATGCAACACAGTCAGTACCATCTCTAGTCTGACTTATTTACCTCCAGTTTCAAAAAGTCAGCCTGTGACAAATGAAATGACCAAGCCTGAGAAAAAGTCACTGAACCAGTCCAAAGTAACTGTAGCAGTTGAGAAAAAAAAGGTCAAGTGCAAAAAGTTGCCAGCACCAAGTTTTTCTGAGATCTCTGGTTCTGGTGGCAGCAAGTTTTATAAATGTAATTTGTGTTCACAAACTTTATGTTCTTTAGAAAGTTTTCTGCTCCATTGGCAGGAGTGTGTTGTAAAAAACAAGGCCTTGTTGAGGAGAAAATCCTTGCTAGTCAGTGCCAAACCTTTGGTTGGAGAAGTACTGAAAAATGTCTTAGCTGTCATTGCCATGGTTGCTGCTGGAGTTGAAGGACCTGATGATGATTATTCACATCTTCATCTCAGTGACTCAGAATCTGAGCTGCTGACTTTACAAGATCCATGTTGTACTGAAGTAGTTACAAGTTTGGTGGGTGCACTAGATAAGGTACCGATGTTAAGTGGTAAAGAACTGCTTGATGTTAATGACAGTGTTGATGAGAGTCTGTTTGAAGAGAAATCTAAAGAAGGACCAGATGGTTTTGAAGATAAGAGTGAAACCTCCAACAGAGATGTTCCTCCCAAACTGAGAGACCGAAAAATGCTCAGACCTAAACAGAGTTTGAGTCCAGAAACTGTCAACAAGTCAGAAAATCCAGTGGAGAAAGAGGCTATAGAAGAAGCTAGCAACTCAGCTAGTGAATCTGAAGGTGAAGGTCTGTTGTGTCAAGTATGTAATGTGACTCACCAAACCAAGAGAATACTTCTTCAGCATTACGCTGGCAAACACTTAAAACCTTACACAGTCAAAACCCTGGCTGATTCTTCTTCATTTTTTTGTCACTTGTGTCAGAAAACATTTTCTACTTTTATGCATTACATGCAACATGTTCCTAATCACTCTGTTACTATTTATGAAAAAATGAAAACTTACATTGCCCAGAAAAAATGGAACCAGCACAGTGAAAGACTTTCTTCTAAGCGCGGGATAGCAAAAAAAGGTGGTTTGAGTCCTAATATGGCAAAGGCTCTCAAAAGTAGACAGATGGCTAAGAGGTCAGCTCTTAACAAATTCAAGAGAGAACTGCTGTCTAGCAACACCCAAACAATCAGGGAAAGGTTGAGGTTGTCCAAACGAAAAAGAAGTCGAAGGTACACATCAAGTGAAGATGATTACAGTTCCGATGCATCAAACAATGTTGTCTTTAAATATAACAGGGTATCAGAGAGCAGTGATCAGTCTGATGAACCAAAGAAAGGAAGAGGCAGGCCTAGAAAACTGGCTGAGAGTTCCTCTACTGAGGACTCCCTTGAGAAAAAAGCAACAAGTCCTGATGAGGATTATGTGGCCAGTGATGACCTTGACAGTGATAATGGAGCAAGAACCCCTCCTGCCACCAGAAGTCGATCAACCAGAACCTCCAGCACCTCTTCAGTTTTAAAACGAAGACGACGCAGTTCAGATTCTGATACCAGTGAGAATCACTGGGAAAGTGAAACAACAATTAGATCTAGAAAGCGCAGTGCCAGAAAAGCTGAGTTGAGTAGTACTTTGTATGATTCAGATTCTAATAGCACAAGTTTAGTTTTACTTGAACAAAGCAATGGACATTTCAAGCCTTTGTCTCAATCAGTCACTCATCTAAACACTGATGTTCAGGCCAACCAACAACCTCGAACTATAACTGTACATTCTCTTAGTAAAAGGCAAAAAGAATTCCTCACAACCTGTGATTTGCAGCCAAGGATCAGTTTAGAAGTTCTGACAGCTGAGAAAATTTCCAGCTCAACAGGAGATAGCCAAAGTGTTGGGTCTGCCAGTCTGGGAACTAAAGCATCTTCTTTTCTGGATTGTTTTTTATCTTATCTTGATAAGAGAACTGTAGCTAATGGCCTACGTGGGAAAAAAAATTATGATAGCACAAGTGAGAACCCACAGGTTCCAAGTCCAATGAGCAGCGTAGATGGTACAGAAGGCAGCACTATAAGTTACACAACAAACTCTGATAGGGAGAACTGTGCTGATGGCACCACAGATTGGGCTGAAACAAAAAAATGTATTCCCACTAGAAGGTGTAGTGTAAATCTGGGTAAAAAGGTTGACCTACATAATCTAACTTTGAGTGACAAACCCAAAGCTGTGCTTAAAAATTCTTTTGAGACTGAGTTCACAGCATTTATTCATTCAAGGCCTGGTGCCATGTTAACCTGTGATACTAACTCAAGCAAACAAATCAAGCCGGTAGTTTGCTTAGAAAGAATAGATCTAGCAGGCCAGACGGGTGATGTCAAGGGTTGTAGCCCTCAAGGTGATACAAAGAAAACCATGAGCTTCCCTCTGCAAGAGAACCCAGTTGATGCTTCATTGGCAATGAGTGCAGAGATCATGGAGCCACAACTCCCAGCTAACAGGACCAAAGGGACTGCATTGAAAGAAGGGGTTGGAGAATTGGTAAGTGGTACTATGGACTTGGTGCCTGAGACTCCTAATAATGCAGTGGAAAGGAAAGAGAAAGGTTGCCTTACAGGGGGTACTGAAGATATCGGTACACATGAACAAATAGGGCAAGCTGGGAAGTTTGAAGTTCCAAAAGAACAAGTAGATCTAGATTCGCTACATTCAAGACAATCAAACAACGGCCCTAAAAATCAAGAGGGACAGGTGGTGCATATCCCTAAAGAATTGGACACATTCACTTTTCCAGGGATACTTGAATCAAATGTCAATGAAAAGGATGGTATCAGTTTGCATAAGGACACTGGTAAACATAGAGATAATCAAGAAAAGAAGAATCAAGACATTATAGACATTAAACATTTGGCTGTTGCTGAACAATCTGAGCTCGTTATACCCAGTGATGGTCATCCAGCAAAGAATGAAAGAAAAATTGTTCCAATAAAAGCAAGCAAAATAGAATCTCAAGTCATAGATGGTAGACAAAATGTTTGGGGGGGAAACATTTTAGAATGTCCTACAGTGCAAGAGAAATCAGACAAGTGTTCATTTAGTCATATCAACTCCAGTAACTCTCTGGCTGCATTTATTGCAGAAAGATTAAGCAAGGATGGCCTGTCAGTTCAAACTGTGGATTGCCTAGTTAACTACAGCTCTTCAGATGATGAAACCAGCAGCTCACCTCTCTACACAAAACAGACAGACAGCAGCTCACCTGTCAACCCACGACTGAATGACAACAGCTCACCTGTCAACCCACGACTGAACGACAGCAGCTCACCTGTCATCCCACAACTGAATGACAGCTCACCTGTAAACCCACAATTGAATGACAGCAGCTCACCTGTCAACCCACGACTGAATGACAACAGCTCACCTGTCATCCCACGACTGAACGACAGCAGCTCACCTGTCATCCCACGACTGAATGACAGCAGCTCACCCGTCATCCCACAACTGAATGACAGCAGCTCACCTGTCATCCCACAACTGAATGACAGCAGCTCACCTGTCATCCCACAACTGAATGACAGCTCACCTGTAAACCCACAATTGAACGACAGCAGCTCACCTGTCAACCCACAACTGAATGACAGCAGCTCACCTGTCATCCCACAACTGAATGACAGCAGCTCACCTGTCATCCCACAACTGAATGACAGCTCACCTGTAAACCCACAATTGAACGACAGCAGCTCACCTGTCAACCCACAACTGAATGACAGCAGCTCACCTGTCATCCCACAACTGAATGACAGCAGCTCACCTGTCATCCCACAACTGAATGACAGCTCACCTGTAAACCCACAATTGAATGACAGCAGCTCACCTGTCATCCCACAACTGATTGACAGCTCACCTGTCAACCCACAATTGAATGACAGCAGCTCACCTGTCATCCCACGACTGAATGACAGCAGCTCACCTGTCATCCCACAACTGATTGACAGCTCACCTGTCAACCCACAATTGAATGACAGCAGCTCACCTGTCATCCCACGACTGAATGACAACAGCTCACCTCTCATCCCACAACTGAATGACAGCAGCTCACATGTCATCCCACAACTGAATGACAGCAGCTCACCTGTCAACACACAACTGAATGACAGCTCACCTGTCAACCCAAAATTGAATGACAGCAGCTCACTTGTCAACACACAACTGAATGACAGCAGCTCACATGTCAACACACAACTGAATGACAGCTCACCTGTCAACCCTAAATTGAATGACAGCAGCTCACCTGTCAACACACAACTGAATGACAGCTCACCTGTCAACCCAAAATTGAATGACAGCAGCTCACCTGTCATCCCACGACTGAATGACAGCAGCTCACCTGTCAACCCACAACTGAATGACAACAGCTCACCTGTCAACACACAAATGGACGGCAGGTCAGATGTCAACCCACAACTGAATGACAGCAGCTCACCTGTCATCCCTCAACTGAATGACAGCAGCTTACCTGTCAACCCACAACTGAATGACAGCAGCTCACCTGTCAACACACAACTGAATGACAGCAGCTCACCTGTCATCCTACAACTGAATGACAGCAGCTCACCTGTCATCCTACAACTGAATGACAGCAGCTCACCTGTCAACACACAACTGAATGACAACAGCTCACCTGTCATCCCACAACTGATTGACAGCTCACCTGTCAACCCACAACTGAATGACAACAGCTCACCTGTCAACCCACGACTGAATGACAGCAGCTCACCTGTCAACACACAAATGGACGGCAGGTCAGATGTCAACCCACAACTGAATGACATCAGCTCACCTGTCAACACACAACTGAATGACAGCTCACCTGTCAACCCACAATTGAATGAAAGCAGCTCACCTGTCAACACACAAATGGACGGCAGGTCAGATGTCAACCCACAACTGAATGACAGCAGCTTACCTGTCAACCCACAACTGAATGACAGCAGCTCACCTGTCATCCCACAACTGAATGACAGCAGCTCACCTGTCATCCCACAACTGAATGACAGCAGCTCACCTGTCATCCCACAACTGAATGACAGCAGCTCACCTGTCATCCCACAACTGAATGACAGCAGCTTACATGTCAACCCACAACTGAATGACAGCAGCTCACCTGTCATCCCTCAACTGAATGACAGCAGCTCACCTGCCAACCCACAACTCAAGTCAAGCAGCTTTGTTACTATTCAGTGCGTAAATCAACCAGAATCACAGCCTCTAACAATGTTCAATCAAGCTTTTTACTGTCACAGTGTAATTGTCTCTCAAGATAACTTTGAAACTGGTTTAGCAAATCCCTACATTCAGGTGGAGAAGAGGACTCAAAGTGAATGTATAACAAATTATAAATCTAATCAAATGTCTTGTGACCTGGATATCTCATCCACTTCCATACACTGTGAGACTAAAAAGTGCACGAAAGACAATTTAGCTGAGTGCTATGATTCATTACAAATGATTGATCATAAAACTGCAAACGCTATCAACATGGCTGCTGAATGCAGTCACTCCAGTTTAGTAAGCACTCCTTCAAGTAAAAAATATGTCATTAAAAAATTGAAGTTACCAGAAAAAATTAAACATCCTGACACTAGCTATACAATATTCAATATGACAACTTTAAATGACGTTGAACCCAATACTGTAGTAGAAGAATTATCAACCACTGCAGAAATGAACAAACAAATAAAATCAGTAACTGCGGGTATGGCCGAAGAAATTGAATTAGTCTCTGAAAAAGAAGATTCAGTTACTGCAGGTATAGCCAAAGAAATTGAATTAGCCTCTGAAATTAAAAATTCAGTTGATGCAGGTATGGCAGAAGAAATTGAATTAGCCTCTGAAATAAAAGATTCAGTTACTGCAGGTATAACCAGAGAAAGAGTCAACTCAACACTCATTCCAGAAGCGTCCCTGACTGTTATTTCCATGAATGTGCCAATTGTAGATGCAAGTTCCCTAATAAACCAGCCCCAGCCTTCACCCAAACCAAGTTTTGTTCAAGGCTCAAGTTTCCAATTGGCAACTCCAACCAAAGGCAATCTGCCACCTAGTTTGGTGCCACTTGACCCTGATTTAATGCATTCTAATGACATAGATTACTCTTATGAGGATGAGGTCAAATTGCTTTCTCCTGATTTCATTTTTTACGATAATTTACCTACAGGTGTTGAAGAAGGTAAGTTGTCATCATCAGAGGTTATTAAACAAAGAAAAGAAAAGAGCTTACCACCCGACCATGCAAAGGAAATAGCACCGACCAAACTGCCTATCGATTTCAAAGGAGAAAAATCTTGCCTATTTGAATTAGATGAAGAGAATCCATTGAATGACCTTCAAGAAAAAGAAAATAAAAACCAAAATGTCATGAATAAAGAAACAGAGATCTTTAAAAGTTCAACAGAGGTGCTAAATGATAGTAAGCAGGAACTCCCATTTTTACCATTGACAGGTTCTAAGGAAATCCAAGGTGAGTGTCTGTCAAGTTCTGAGTTTAGGATAAACCACACTTGTCCAGACACAAGTTGTTGTCCAACTGTGGACTGGGAAACCACCAAAAACATTTGTGATAGGGTAAAAACAAGTGTTGAAGCTTCTGAGGAGAGTGTTAATGTAGAAAGTGATCACATTTTATCTTCAGATGGTAGTGCTAAAACCTGTTCAAGCAAAACAATTGCTACAGTTTGTCAGACTATCAACACTAAGTGTTCCAGCATGAGTGCCACTAGGTTAGACATAGGAGAGAAAAAAAGGAATGCTGCACATGAGGAAGGAACTTCTAAAGGTGACATAGAGAAAAAAGAATTAGAAGATGCTGATGATTTGAGTGACTTCGATCTAGTTATTGAAGATGATACATCATCCAGATCTGTTGTTTATTTGTCACACCAGTCATATACACCTAAGTCTGACCGTAACTCTCCCCAAATGGAACTTTCTAAAAAGGTGACCAAATCCACATCAAATTTACATATGTCAAAAAGAGATATTGCTAAAAGTTCACAGATAGACCAGCAAATTCCGTACACAAGGGGTGTCAGAAAACTTGGAGGAGCTAAGGCTTTGAAAAAAAACAGTCAGAAACAATTTGAATGGGATATTGATGATGATGATGAGGGTAAGCATGCTACTAGATTAGTCACGCAGGCCATCCCAGTAGACCCAACTAAAACTCTTAATACATCTTTAGAAGCAGTCAATAGAAAAAGGAGTGCTTTACGAGAAAAAACTGCAACAGCTCCATTTACATGGGACCTGGAAGAAAGTTGTGTAGATAAAACTAATAATAGCCAACAAAATGATAACATATTTAAAATTAGTAACGCATTAACAAATAAACCTAAAAGGATTATTCACAAAAAAAGGTCTTTTTCACCTGATATATTTTCTTCCGGGGAATCAAAAACAAAAACTAGAAAAGTGCATTCAACAATTAAAACTAAAGATTGTCGTCTCACAAATAGACTTCAACCTAGTGCTAAAACCTTTTCTAGTAGACTTTCATCCATTTCTAAGAATGCTACAAATAAATCTTCTAAAAAATCTAAAGTGAGTGGCAGTTCATCAGAAAAGTCATGTGAAGAAGTGTATGACAATAGCAGCTCTATAGCAGTTGGTGAGGACATTTATTTCAAGACCAAATCTTTTACTGCACCTATGCTTCTTAGTTGTTTGGAATCAAGTAGTTCCTGCACTGTCCAATCCAGTGCAGTTGATTCATCAAAGACTAGAAGGTCCAAGAAAGCTACTTTAGTTATTGTGACCCCAGAACAGAGTGAGGATGTCATACAAAAAAGGTCAAGGCACAGCTCAATGGAATCCAACAAATCAGACTTGTCCACCTCCTCCAGGAAACCGTTAGAACAATTTTTTAAACGAGGTAGAAAAAGTGAAGATCCATTGACACCAAAGTTGAAAAAGGCAGGACTCATAAAAATAACTCCAAACCCTCCTGCGTCTTGTGTTGGTCTGGACACGCCAGTAACTCGATCATCTGGTGCAGCTATAAAAGCTTTGAATAAAAAAAGCTTGCGGAGTAGGGAAGTTAATCCTTTAAGTGTTTCATTGCCTCAGTTACCCCAATCTATGTCATCAAATATGTGTTCAAAAAATAATCCGGATGTAAGTTTCAAAGGAAAACCCCTGTCTTCAGCAAAATCAACTTGCTTAGTTGGCTCAACTAAACAGTCTCCCAGCAAATCAAAAATTGATAGCACCACAACAGCAGCAGTTGTAAAACGTAGAACAGCACCACCCATACCTGTGAGACTAACTCCCAATAAAGGCAGTTCAGTTGAGAAGAGATTAAAACTGAGTCAAAATTCCAGTACAACTGTTTATATTGTAGATCCTGTCCTTCCACGTGGAGTGTCTAAACCCTCATCTGTGAGTTCTGTGGGATCAGGGACAATTCACACACCTCTACCACCTGGCACAGTCTCCATCAAACAGAAAGGTATAGAGAGCAGACATTCCAAACTAAAAGGAAGCAAAGGTACCAAGTTGAAAAATCACAGAAGAAGAGTGTAGCTTTCCTTCAAGCCATTTGTCTTCAAACTGTTCAGCTTTGTATTTACATTGTTAGCCTACTTCTATGTAATTTAATTGTAGCCTATATTTCAAGTTGAGTTTGTGAATGCTCAAATGAATTTGATAAGATGCTTCAGCAAGGTTTCAAGTACTGATTTTGGTGCATTGTCATGGTTTTTTTAAATGCTGGATTAAGTTGAATCTGTGTATATCTGTATATAATTTTCTAATGTATAGATCTGTTACACAATATGGCTCTGCTAGCTTTTGTGATTTTCTTTACTTAAGTATCTGCTGTCAGTGCTGTGTGTTTGTCTAAACTTCATTGACATAGCATATATTAAAACTTTGAAAGATATTCTGTAATAAAGTATAATGTGAATTAATTTCTAAATAAACATTGTCTCCATTATCATTATGACTTTTTAATTCCTAACACCTGATTCTTACATAAGTCCTTGAATAATCACGTTAAGTGATCACACTAGAATAGGCTTGAAAAGCTGGTTCCACCAAATTGTTGCGACCAGGGAAGCTTATTTTTCTACCAAAATAATGATTTGAAAAATAAGCACAAAATAATTGTGGCTTTTTTTTTTTAACTAGGCTAGAAAATTCTAACAAATATTTACTCTAATTTGTATTACCCAACTGATAACTATTAATACTATGTATTTTATATCTAACAGCTTTGATTTTTAAAAATGTAAGTAATTTTATCACTTCCCATGTTTTCAAGATTTTTTTTGAAAATTTACATAGACATCTCAAAATTATTATGCAAAAGTCTTGACATTTCTGTCAGAAACTACTACTTTGATACATTTTTATTTGTTTATCCTTACCAATGTTTTTTTTAATAGTAAAATATAAAATCCAACTAAATATTTAAAAATTAAAAAGGAATTTGTTTTAATTGAATATCTTCAAAGTATGTATAAAAATCTTAAAAAAAAAAACAACCCACAGAAATTGGGACTAAATCTCTTTTAATGTTAACATCTCAATTCTTTATGAATTGCTTTAAAAAATTTATAAAGAACATTGAACCACTAAATTATTATTTTAAGTTAATTACAGACATAATTAGATTGAAACACAGACAATGATCAAATGGCTTGAATGTTTTAGCAACAGTCTCACAAGCAAATACCAAATGAATAAACTAAACAAATACATTATTTTTATGTTGAACATACAACTAAATTTTAAAGTGAAGATCTCAGGGACTCCATTTTCTTGTAAGTATCTTCACATTTGGCAGTGGTAGCAGTTTCAGTGTCCAAGTAAACATTACGGGTCAGTTTGCCACTGACTAGCTTCTCTGCAGCTACAATGGCAAGCCCTATCTGTTCCTTGTACTGGGAATCCAACCGTTGCAGTTCAGCAACCTAGAAAAGAAAAATGTTGCTAATTTTAAGAATACTACCTTCCTGTATCCTTGTAAAATGAAAATAAAAATTGCAATGTACATTTGTATTGAAACACATTTATCATTACAAGTGGTGGATTTTGGGACTATTTCACTATCTGATGGGATCATTTAAAAATAGATGATTGCGTTGTTCTCATAGTAACTCAACAGGAGCAGACATGTCTACCCCTGTCAGCCAAAAGTAGGAAGTCATGCCTAAAATGAGGAACTTGTAGCTAAAAAGAGGAACGGACGCTAGTTTACTAAGTCAAAAGTATAAATAATTAATTAAAAATTACTCTAATGACATTAGTAGGCTTCTAGTCATATATAACAAGTCTCTAAGCTACATTTAAATACTGCTTATTAAAAAAAACAGTAATTTGAGACCCCACCCCCCAATAAAAACAGTAGTCCATAGTTTTAACATTATTTTTTAAAATTATTTATGCCTTGCTATGTTCTAGGCTATATGAATAACAAATGCTGAAGGCTTCATATGTAATATAAAATATAAGTAAAGAGCTAAGACTTAGATCTACCTAGTGAAAGGCCTAGTTACTTCTTTATTTCTTACTTACTTACTAGACCTAGAGATCTAATACTACAACTAATACTTATTTTATTAAGTTAAGTCATAAGTTCTTCATAATAATAATAGTAATACTTAGGCCTACTAGTTAAGTTAACTTACAAGATAGGTCATGATTTTATTGTATTTTTCTCCCTACAACAAAGTTATTTAAGCTTCAATTCAAATCTACAATTGAACTGCAAATACTAAAAAAACGTTCAGTACTTAGATTGTCCACATTATCTATTAGTTGTAAGTATTGTAATTAAACTAAGAAACGAAAACGTGTGCGAAAGGGAGACAATAGCTTTTTCCTGTTGTTTTTTTCAATTCGATTTATTACCTTCCATTATTTATTTATTTTTATTTTTTTTAAAATAAATCGCAACAAACTGAGTCAAAGCCGGGATGACGGAACACATTACTTTTTAGCGCAATTTCCATACTGGGGGATTGCGATTATTAACTCGTCATTTCTGGATGGATGGATGGATGTGTGTCCGCAGCTTTCAGTCGTATCTCCTCCTCAACGAAGCAATATCGAGGACTAGTTCCAAAAGCAAATATGTTAAGCAAGTTCCGAGGATGATTGTGGGCCAAAAAAATTCCCGGAATTCCTTCCTGGATTTCCCGGAAAAGCAAAAAAACCTCGAAAAAATGCAGTTTTTTGCCCATATCTCGGCAACCAGACCACTTAGCGACTTGAAACATTTACCAATCAATTCCTGTCATAATTTAGAACAATATTGCCAAAGAAAGTTTTCAAAAATATCCTTTCGTTCGGTCACAAAAAATTAATTTCTTCTATTTTGTATTGGCTAAGATTACTAAGAATATACAAATATTTCTAGAAGAAGCGAAGCGGTGAAGTTCCAAACCAAGCACACCGGCTGAGGCAGTCGCTAGTGAGAGGTAACGTCTACTTGTAACACGCTGCCATTGGCCAGACTCGCGCAGATCTCACGAGGGGGCGGGGACTAGCTCTGCTCGTCTGTGCAAACATCTACGGGTGATTCGTTTGGTCACAAAAATTAATTAAGGAAATTGTGCTTAAATTGTCACTAGACTTTTTATAAACTTGTTTAGGTGAAATAGCGGAACGATTCCGATTTTGGCGGGATGGCAGGCATGTCTGCAGGAGTGTTTTTAATAAACACAGAAAAAAATATTTTTAGACATTTTATAAACACCATAGTGACTGATGCAATGGTGTATCTTTTTAATGCTTGGGGCATCAGCAGATTCAGTCATTTGCAAGTTGACATAACGGTACAGAAGGGTTTCCATGCATTACTAAGTTATTTTTAGAAGTGTGACTTTTTTTTCTAAGAGTTATTCTTTGTATTATGTTGCTATATATATATATATATATATATAACACTAACATAAATATAAATATATACTAGAATACCCGTCATCCCTTGGATAACTGTGGGTTTCGGGGGTCATCCATCAAAAAACATCACGTCTGTCACTCAGAGGCATAGCGAGCCTTCCCGGCGCCCGGGGACAAACTTTTCGATTTTAACCCCCCCCCCCAAGATTTCGATTTTCAACCCCCCCCCCCCTCAAACTTTTGATGTGCACCCCCTCCCCCCCCCCCCCCCCACTCAAACTTTCGATTTGAACCCCCCTCAACCTTTCAATTTATTTTTCCAAACCATTTTGGCGCCCCAACATACGTCCCCCCGCCCCCCCCCCCCTTCACTCCCCCCCCGCCTCCCCTCCCCCCCCCCTTTCCCCCCCCCCCGCCTCCCCTTCCCCCCCCCCCGCCTCCCCTTTCCCCCCCCCCCCCGCCTCCCCACCCGCCCCCCCCCCTCCTCGCTACGCTACTGCAGTGTCACTTATCGTCACAAAAACAGAGCCCACATTCAAAAATATGTTTCTTATCTTTTAAAAACACCGAAAACACCGATTTCGGACTATCCCTTCATATACTGACGTCACATGTGACCTACTCAACTCTACTTTACCTGCCCAGTGTCCCGCCAAGTCTCAGACAACATGTTTTTATCGTTTAAAAAACGATTCCAGCCGAGCATGTCTCTGACCACACTATCCTTTCATATGGTTAGGACAAAGAAACAGATGAACTCTACTTCACCTGCCCTGTATCCTGCCAAGTTCAGATAGGCAACTTTATCATTAACATCTAAAAAAAAAAAAATTGAAAAAAAAAATCATTTTTTATCATTAACATCTAAAAAAAAAAAAAATTGAAAAAAAATATCATTGACATATTGGTCTAGAACCTGTACCACTCGCATGAGAGCGGACTACGCTACAAACTTAGCTATTTACTCCTGACGTCACAAATGAATTTTTATACTATACTTTGATGCAACTTGATTTCGAGCGTCTAGTCTAGAAGTAGTAACTTTCAAATTAAATTTTATCTTAAATTAGCCAAACAAAGATTTATATAAAATAATTAAGGCCTGAAATAGATTCTAGATGTATTAAGGCCTGAAATAGATTCTAGATGTAGAATTTACATTAAGTCTAGATTTAGAATTTACATTGAGTTTAGTGATCTAGATCTAGATCTAGGCTAGATTTATAAATTTCCTTCGACAGCTGATCTTTAGATCTAGAGAAATTTATTGTAAAAACTAAATGAAAAAAGACAGTTGAAAATTGATATAAGTGTTGGAACGTAATAAATACAGCAAACGGACGTATTGTTAAAGTTATGACCGACAGAAAATTAGATTTAGAACGCGTTAAACTTTGGAATGGGAACACAATTTTCTTCGATAGACGCCGCCATTTTATTGTACTAAAGAGTCAACAAAAAACTCTGACGTCACTATCAAGGGACGTCACTATCCCCACAAAGTTTATTCAAAGTATTAACATTTTTTAAAAAATACGGTTAATTCAACAATGAATAAATCAATAAATTAATTAACGTCTTTAAATAAATTTGTGATTAACAGTCTGTCTGCATTAAAAAATTATTCTCTACCTACATACTATTTTACAGCTCTCCAGATAGAGCCGAACATATCAGGATACTTGATCAGGCAAACAAACAAACAAACAAAAAACAAATAAATATTCAAACATGTAAACAAACTTGACTTTTAGTAGTATATAGATTATATATAATATATATATTTATATATATTTATAATATAATATATATATTTATATATATTTATAATATAATATATATATTTATATATATTTATAATATAATATATATATTTATATATATTTATAATATAATATATATATTTATATATATTTATAATATAATATATATATTTATATATATTTATAATATAATATATATATATTTATATATATTTATAATATAATATATATATATTTATATATATTTATAATATAATATATATATATTTATATATATTTATAATATAATATATATATATTTATATATATTTATAATATAATATATATATATTATATATTTATAATATAATATA